CCCCACCCTGCTCTTGTGTTTTAGCTTTTTCTGCTGTATTTACCTTTACACGTCTATCTTGATTATTCATCTGTCTTCTGTTAATTGTGAGATCCGTGGGGACAGGAATTCCTGGGTTTACCGGTGAGTTTTGCCCTGCCTTTTCACTGGTGTGCTCTTGTGTGATGACAGCATCTCGCACAGAGTGACCCCTGAATACACACTGAACATAGGGCTGATGAGTGACTGTAATTGATGGGTTTCCCAAGCCTGGCCTTAGCTTTCTATATTGCAGCCGTGCTGTACCCTTGACTGCCCCAGACACATTTCAGACTCCACAGCTGACTGTCCACCACCGTCCCCCAGGCTTTTTGTACTCTCCTCATGCCTTTGTTGCCCTGTGCCCACTACTCTGAATGTATTTTCTGAGCCTTTTTCACATTGCCCTGACTCCCTAAGTTCCTGCTTACTCCAGGAAAGCATCTCAGTCATACAGCCTATATTCTTCTTAGGGGATGTTTTTCCATCTTTTTCATTTTATAATTAAATTTATTTTACGTCCCAACAGGATGTGTACTCATCTCAATGGATGTTATTTATGCTGTGCGTTTTCATTTAACTTTTCCAATGTTTCCCTTTTTACTTGCCAACTTTGGAAGCTCTCTGAGAAGTCAACGTATGTAAGAAGGACTCCCAGGGAGGAATGCCACCTGCCTGGGAAATGAGGGGATCTGTTACATAAGGAGTGTGGCCAGCACACTGCTCAGGGAAACTGCTTAGGATGCATGTTGGTGGTAGGTGCTGGCTTCTAGACTGATTCTAGGAGGTGGTTCATTTCCAGTATTCTAGATCCCTGAAGCTTCCTTAGTGTTTATCCATACACAATACAGACATGTTTAAACAGACATGCATAAATCTTTGTTATAGAGTAGCTTTTACAGACTTCATTTAGTGATGTTGAACTTGAAAGAATAAACATACTGATTGTAATTGAATGGATGGATGCTTTATCACACATTTGGGAGGCTTAATGTGTGAGAATGCTTTTTCATGGGACTCTGCATTTATGAACAGTCTTTTGCACGGCATTTCCATGAAGAAATCTGAAGGGACCGTGTTTGGGAATGCTTGGTCATGTAGAGCCGAGTGTGGGTCCTGTCTGTGGGCCCTGTTAGGTGCTTAGTTGTTTGTTTTTTCCATTTAGAAAGAAACACCACACACACTGTATGGTGAGACCTTTTTGTATTGCGTGTTCAGTGTCTATCGTTTCAGGTCGATGAGTCATTAACTGCAGCTTCTCATATGACTGATGATCCAAGCTTTTTAATCATAGTAGCTGAAAGATACTTGGACACACTCATTATTCATTAACTATTTCTGGCATGAAGAAGGCAAGTGAGATGTGCCAAACATGTAACCTCTGTTTTCAAATTAATTCCAGCATGTTTTTATCTCTAACAACAAACATACACTTAACTCTTTAAAATAGATGGTAATCAAGCTCCAAACTTGTTTTCAAAGTCAACTTTAATTCTGCAGTAGAGTTGAATGTTAACTCCCAGAAATGGATGTCCCTAGTGTGGGCATTATAGAGATTCTAAAGAAATTTAGTTGCAACTCTCAAAATTTCAAATAAGTTAAATTCTTGCACATTGAATCTTATTACACACACACACACATACACACACAACACACACACACCTACCTTATGAATCTTTTTGTAGAACAAATAGGCAAGATGAAATTTGTTTACTTTTTTAACTTTGGAGAGGTTATATATTAACTTTATAGTGTGTATCTGTTGTGTTTAAAAACACATTGATGCATGGTTTAAAAAAATTAAACATAGTTACTACAGTAGCTACTTAATTCTTACTTTTTTCAGTAGAGCCAATTAAAAATATAACAATTTGAAAAATTAACATCTGCCTTCTACTTGTATTACTTCAAATCTGTGACAGGCAAAATATTTATTAAAAGCACTATTTTTCATCTCTTCTCTGGTGCTGACAGTTTTGATTTGTGACATCTGTTTCTTTTTCTAATGCAGCTGTTCTGAAAGCATAATTAGTTTGAAATGAATGAGAATTGATGTTGTCTTGAAAAAATTTTGATTTTCTAATCACATCATGGATATTTTCAGCCCTTTGAAATGTACTGGCAATTCTAAGTGGGAATCTGTGTGGTTTCTTTAAAAACAGGTCGGGCTTCGTTTTTTGATAAAGTAGAGTCAGCCGTGTGGACAGTGTTAAGCTAGCTGTGGTGACATGGTGTTGTTACCTTAACCAATTTTCTCTTCCCACTCTATAGAAATTCCACAAAATGTGCAAAATTATCTTAAAATGAGGTACCAGTCCTAAATTGTATGCAAGACTGAGTCAGAATAGAGATTTCAGATACCAGGAATGTCTTCAAATTTGAGCGCTCTTTGCTTTGCCATCAATTTACTGGTACCAGTGCAAATGGCAGCTATAGAAAAAAAGGAGGTTAGGAAATTCAGATGAAGGAAATGAAAGACAGAGTTTCTTTCACCCGTGTCTGTCCTTGAGGTAGGTAGAACCTCTCTGTGCTGCTCCACGTGGTAGAGCAAAGCCACAGAGTCTCTCATCTCTGAATGATAGTCAAGGTGGGAGGCAGCTAGTGTAGCAGACAGCTTGTGGAACACTGTGTCCCATGTGTCTGATGGCAGAAAAGTCGTCTGAAGGCTCAGTTGCAGTGTGAAGAGGAGCCTGATTAAAATTGTTTGGTCTCTGAAGCAAAGTGCTTAAAACATTGTAAAGCTCTAATTACCCTTAGTGAATAGAGCTGCAGGGACAGACAGGAATTCTGTATCATTCTGGCATGGACAGGGGTGGGCATGGTAGACAGGTATTGGTAAGAATAGAGCATTAGACAGTTTGTCCCTGGCTTAATATTCACATCTCTGAAATTAGCATCTTGGGTAATGTCCAAAGCTTTATTATGATGTGGCCTCAACCTCAGAAGACAGACATAGTTGACCTTCAAGAAAATTGGAATGGTTTACTCTTTTAGGCTGGGTTACACAGAGCCCAAAGAGACTGAACTGGCTTGAAGGTGATGCATTCTGCCATCTCAGAAAGGCTGTGCAGTGGCTTATGTATCCTGCATTTCAGTATGGAGAAAAGACAGAGGCTGGTGGCAATGCCTATTCAGAATCACTAACCAGAATGACTAATCAATCACTGAGCACAACAGCATTCATACAACAGGTGTCCTGTGTACACTAATAGAACTGAATGGAACTTATTAAGTCTCCTATCAACGAGGGCTTTAATCACTTAGTTTTCACTGTCAGGTCAGTTGCTTTCTACCGAAGGGATCTCATCCGTACTCTGATAAAGTAGTTATTGAAAGGACATCTACCAATGTATTAAGATGGTAATCATGGTCATCATTCTTGGCCATTAAGTAGTATCTGGTCAAAAGGTATAGACTGGCTATAGGATTTAATTCAAGAAATAAAAAGACTCAAATTTTAGCAATCCCCTTGCAATTTTTGTGTTTCCTGGCACATAAGCTATTACTCCCACCTTAGTTAGTGTATTCATAATCCAGAATTCATTTCACCAAAACATTCTGACTATAAAATAGCATTAACTTGATATTCTACTAGAATAATAGAACTGGAAAGTTTGGTGTGTGAGTCAGTCTTTGCATATTTTTTTCTTTTTAGTTAACAAAGCAAAGTGCCAGTCAAAAAAGCATGTTCTTTAATAGTTTATCTTTTCTGGTGATCCTAATCCCAAAATAAAGGAAACAAAAAATATCACACAACTAAGAAAAGAATAAGTTGCTTGTAGGTTGATTTAATAAGAAAGGAAGCCAGCCTCTCAATTTGTTTCGCATGTCTGATTGGTCATTAAATGCAGAAAACTTGCTGACTCACCAGTACAAGAAACTGGACAGTTGAGTTCAGTGAAGTCACTTGGGTATAAAGGATTTGTATTGATATAGCAAGTTTGATATTAAGACTATAAACCAGGGCAAATGCAGAATGAAGGAGCTGACACTAGACAGAGCATGGATTCAGACTTGTTTCTACCAAGAGGTGTGACCTGGAATAGAGGCAGGAGGTGCCTGCTGTCCCACTCGTTGGCACAGATGGTTTTGTAACATCCATCCATCCAAGCAAAGCTAGGATGCCAGGGATCTGCGGGATGCATTTGGGGGAGAGAGAAGCACCTGTGTTTCTGCCTCATCTCTGTACCCACAGCCCCAGAGTACGTGGGCAAATGTGATGGGAGCATGGCAGAGCTTGAATCTCAAAACTGAAACTTCACACCAGTTTCGAGACTTGGACAATTAAACATTTGAGCAATGAACAGCTTTTTAGAATACCATGATAGCATAGTCAAAATTGAGGGACACAGTCTGAATCTCTACATTTTCTCCTGCTTCCCACATTTAAAAAGTACTTTTGATGGAATTTCAAGAATAGTGATACTAATCTAAACCATATTTTGTAGCTATCATATGTCCACTGAATTAAATATTAAAGGAATTTAGTAGCGTTCAAATGTAGAAATAATAGCACTATAGAAATAATTTCTGAGTCTAAATGAATTTCCAAATTAAAAGATTTGTCATGGTAATTATTTTTCGAACAGCCAAGCAATGCTTAATAAACCCAAAGTTGAATAATTACCCTCAATTGCTCTCCCCCCAGTTTGGATATTACAAATGCTCATCTTGATATTAATATAATGGCTGCATTGTTTCCATTATAAAACAGGACAAATTTCCACCCAAAAGTGCTCAGTGAGACATCCACAAAGAAAAACAAATATATTGTTGTTTCAAATAGTTTTGAATAGCAGTTGTTGACTGGCTTAGGACATCTTTAAGCATGGTTTCTAGAGAACCACTCACTTTGATGTCTGACTCGTTAGAGTTGATGGTCTACACTTCAATAATGTCAGTGTTTTCCAGAAGTTCAGACAGGTCAGTGAGATCAGCATCTTTTACTTTTATAGTTCAGACTTCAATGGTATGAGAGCAAGTTTAGAAAACGTTTTTATTAGACAAATTATGTAGACAAATTATACACAGAAAGCTCTGCCACTCATAACTGAGGCCTCCAAAATGTTTTGTGTACTTGTAGAATAGGCAATACATCAAAATCCGCCTATTTCCAGTATTGTACATGGTTAACAGTTTGTTGATAGCTGAAGTCACTGCAGCATCTGGGGTGCCCCTATATAGCTGTCAAGACTTTTCTGTTTGAAAATCAGAGTTGGAAATGAGAACATGAACTTCACAGGGGAACAAGGTGTGCATGCACCGTGGGACTCGTCACCCTGGAAACAAAGTGGTTGCTCATGAGAATAAAGTTTTCTGCCTGACACAGTAGACAATATTTGAAGATTTAGTACAAAAACAGTGACAGTACGAGATGCTCCCCAAACAGAATTAGATCAAAATAGAATACACCTTAAGAATATACCTCTTAACTGCTCCTAAAGCAAATCACGTAGGCTGGATCCTCTAGCAATCCTAGCCACAGAATGAATGAGATTAAAGTAAGCGTACGGCTGCCTGAAAACACAGGGTAAATCCCTGCTTCCTACTTACCACGTCGAGTTTAAGGATTACAGATGAAACTCATTCTATGTTTCTAACAGATAAGAATGCTACTTTTAGAGGAGTGTGCACAAAGAGGCACTGGTTTTTGCTGACACCCTTGGCACTGATCTTAAAAGAACAGAATACCGCCAAGTAGAAGCGGGTAGAGAAGGGGTTCAGATGAGAGCCCAGTATGGTTGTTATGTGTTTGCTGTAGGGTGATGTATGACACAAATAAGGCCACATCGACACTTCTGGGGACTTCCCCTCCTCCCCAGCTACAGTTACATTGATTGGCTTGCAGCTTTGGAAGAAGACTTTGAACCTACAATGATCGATGGTTAAACTCCGCTCAGTGTGCTGTATGTGGGGCTCAGCTAATGGTATTTCCCATTTAGATAATTAACAAAAGGTAAAGTGATCAAGGTTAGCTTTATATACTGCTGAGTAAGGAGTGCAAAACCTATTCAAATGAGTACATCTAGGAACAAAGATGAAATCTCCCTGGATGTTTTAATAACAAAATTATAAAATAGTCTCTTGGCAAACAACGCAGGTCAGAATGACATTAAAGCAACCTGCCTTTGCAGCTGAAAAGGCCTCCTGCACTCTCCTAGCTCCTGTACACAATGCTTGGTTTTTAAACTAAAGCTTTATTAAATGAATTGCAATAGCAATGGCTGCATTTATATATATACACATTATATAGGTGCATATATATGTATATATGTGATACTAAGTTATTTAACACAATAAAGGCCTTTGTCATATGGTAAAGTTTACTGTACATGAGAAAAAGTTTGAGTACTGTACAATCACATGAAAAGGGCGTGCACTGCTGCAGTGCAGGGGGATTTTAACTGTAGTCTCGACTGGCATAGTAATGGCTTTTTTGTAATCCTACAAAACTGTATTCTTATACTGCATGGCCTGAATGGTCTTTAAATCATTTGACAGACACTGCAGGGGTTGCCTTTGGTCCACAGTTAAAGGACACCCGACAACAGTGGAGAATCCTAAGGATGCAGCTGATGATGGAAAAAGACTGGAGTTATTGCAATTATAGTTTCAAAACAGAGGAACGGTGTGTGGGAGCCCTGTATTCAAAGTCAACCCTGCGAGCGCTCTCAGTGACCCAGTGCTCATTCCCTAGATTTGAAGTACAGCGTATGAAAAGCAGACTAATAGGATCCTAGAATACTATATTCTTGGGGAACAAATTGAGTAATGAAAAAAAATGGAGGGTGATAGAGAGAGGGAGAAAGAGAGAGAAAAAAGCAATAGAGCAGGAAAGGGTGTGAGGAAAAAGAACTAGAATTGTTACTAATTATCCTGATTTCTGTTTAAATAAAACGTCACATCCATGTTAGTCCCACATTACAGTTGCTCCTTTGGGGGGAGTCCTAGGATAGGCGGAGCTGTCGCTGCTCAAATGGACGTGCCTCGGTCAGGGTCACTGCCCAGATTCAGCCCCAGGGTAGGAGTAGGCTGATAAGGAATAGATGACATTGTTTTGATAGGACTCCTGAAAAAGCCCCCATTAGGGGCCCTGTGCCTAAAAGGGCCAGTTCGGTGCTCTGGCACACTGCCGAAAGCGAAGCCAGAGGCAGCCTTCGCTGAGAGTGTGCGGCTAAGAGTCTGGATCTGTTCTGGGATGAAGGTGGTGGTGGTGATGTGAGTGTTTCTGAAATCACTGATCTGCTCCAGGGCTTGTCGTGTTGGCAAAGTGTCAATGTCCAGAGGGGTCAAGTCAATTGACGAGGTGGAAAACTGTTTATGGGGGCTGTCGTCATCTGTGCACAAGCTATTTACACGTCTATGAAGGTGCTCCAGGTCAATTTCCTTGTCATCCTGGAGATGAAAAAAAAAAAAAAAGAAAATAAGGTTCTCATCAGTACTAGCTTGCATGGATCAAAAACAAAAACAAAAAAAGTCGTTCAGCAAACATGTAATCAACTGAACTTGGGGCATATTTGTTTAACAGACATTGACTGGGGTCCTAGCATGAGCCAGGCACTGTGCTAGCTTTTGGGAATCCTGACAGGGCTTTGAGGTAAAGTATCTCTAGTAAATACTTTCTTTGCAGCTGGAGCTTTAAAAGGAGCATGTCACATGCAGCTACAAAGACAGGGGTCAGGCTCAGGCAGGGACACGAGCAGAAGGTCTGACTCTGGTGACTTCCCTCAACCCCTGCCACCCCTTTCCAGTACATGCTTCCTCTCTGAGTCTCATTCCAAATGGACCTTTTTGATCCCTTCTATCACTCAGGCCTAGTCTTAACTTTCTGTTCTGAGATGAAAGAGATACATGTTTCTTCCTATTAATGTGTTAAGGACTATGAAAATGGTTTTTTTTTCTTGTATTCCAGAGCTATGAGTACTTTTAGAAAGAGTCAGAACAAGAGAGACTTCTGCATGACAAGGACAGCATGCCATACCTAGTACCTGCACCTGTCAGTTTTATGTTAAATGGGCATGTTTGTAAGAATTTTTATGCATTTATTTTTAAAAGGCAGTAAAGCCTCAGAGTTTTAGAGGGAAATCGTATCCACAAACTCCTCAGGGTTGAAAGCATACAACTGAGAAGAAATAAAATTTCCTTTGTGATCAGACTTATTTACAGCCAAGGTCAATAAACTAAATTTATGAGGTTATAAAAATGTCCATTAATCATAAGAGGAGAAAATGTTTGTTCACAGAACCTGGGATGGCTATCGAAAGTTAGAACAGGGAATGTGTTTTCCCACCACACATGCCGTCCTCTGCAGCAAAACCTGCCAGGATGCACAGCCCTGCATTCCCTTCTCTTTTCTCACTTAAAATCCAATTAGAAAAACATCCATTAATGCAGTATTATCACCAAGACTTCAGAAGGTTGAGATGTATAATTTTATGGTTCCCACAGCAACTGTAACCTAGACAGCCATCAACAGCTATAACAATGCAAACATTTATTATCTTCTGTAGTAATTCAAAAAATGGAGCCCGGGAAGCCCTTCATTTCTAGAGCTTTCAGAGCATTGAGTCTCAGCTACAATCTGCATTAATGTGGCCTCTTGCTTTCGATCGATGTCAGCAGAGATACCAGTGCCTACGTACTCTACAAAGACCACATGGCAATGAACCCGATTAGCTTTTAATTCAGTCTCCACATAGTGGGATTGCATATGAACACCCACACAGGTAGGAAGCAAGGAAAGCCAAGCTGTTCTTGTAAATGCATCTAAGGAGCTACGAGGATCCTTAGACTGTGTAGATGAGGCTGTTCGAAAGACAAACACTGCCGCGCAGACATGCATATACAAATGAGAGATCATTTTATTTGAACATCAAAGCCAATCCTCTGCGGAGTGCCTGGGCATCGGTCAGCCAAGTGCTGGGCAGAAAGTTTGAAACTTTTGTTCAAACTGCCCCTCAAATCAAACCACTGAATAAACTCAGGTTGCTTTTCACACCAACATTTCAAGTAATAAGATTAGACAAGTCAAGTGGTTTCTTTATTTTAATGTCCATGTTTTCTCTGGTAATGGATGTATCTCACATGCTGTTTTCACTGAGGTACTATGTATGATTCTGCAGCCATTCTTACAGATAGCATTACAAACTTGAACATGACCCTGGAGCTAAACTGATGACATAGTCAGGGAGATAAGCAGAATTCAGAGTGATTTCCAGACATGAATTTGGCACACTGGGCTCCTGGGAGAGCCCCCAGACACACAGTCATCTCTCTGGATCTTCATCCATAGACAGGAAGCAGTGACTAATAGTAGAGAGAAAGCATCATGCCAGGGTCTTTTAGGCCTCGCTGTTGAAACACAGGTTTATCTACAACTTCCAGAATCGAAAGAAGCTATTAAGCACCTTTGCAAGCTGGGTCATTGGGAATCACAGCCTTACGGGATTATTAGTATGTAGCCTGAGATCAGAGTTTTAAAGCCCGATACAGGACATGGAGTGGATGCCCCCGCAGACACTGCCCCCTGCTCTTCATTCACCCTGAGTGTCCTAAATGGGTACTGACGCTGGCTTGCCCTCCACATCCCACAGGCTTATTTTGAATCTTCAAGGGAGGCAGAAAAAGCAATTGTTAATATTACCCCTTCCTCCCTGGAAATACAGCCACCGGATGTTTGGCAGCTCTAGTTCGGGCCCAAGTTCAAGTACCTCTTTGGATGGGACTCGAGAGCCCTTCCTCCGGCTCCACCACGTCTCCAACACTGCTATGAGGCAGGAGAGCACGATCCCCGCAGCCAGGATGCAGAAAACGCCTGCCAGGCTCTTGATGTCCAGGGCTCCTCCCTTCTGTTTTGCATCTACTGAGGAGTACAGGTCACACTGGCCATTCTTAGGCCACCACTTGTGCTTGAGGATGTCCATGTCTCCACTCTGCTGCAGCTCCAGGATCCTGGGGGTGGAGAACGCAGTGCATGTGACTGTAGCCAGGATGACTGTCTTGTCTACAACCTGAATGATCGTGACTGCCCATCTAAAGATGACCGGTCTAGCTCACTAGAACAGTTTATCGGCAGAGTACTGCCAAAGCAAAAAATATGGATGCTTTGATCCTGCGATACTTCTGTAGAGGGATTATCTTCTATCTTGCCCCCCTTCCTTTGTCTCTCCCTCCCTTTTCTTATTATTTTGCTCTCACAGGAATGCCTGCGGCCCCTACCCCATTCATTGCAGTATACTTTTAAAAATTACACTTGGGAGGTGCTCTTCTGATGTGGTCTGACACTGATGCTAATCTGACAGTGATGCTACTCTGCCCTTTCTGCAAGTGAACGCAGCTCTGGACCATGGCGGTATTTCCCAGAGCCCTTTGCTGTCTCTAGCCACACACTGCTGTAATGTGACCCAGCATATGCTATACACACAGGAATTTAATGAAAATAAAACTTCTATTATTTATCATGGTGTGGGAGAAGGCCTGGGGACAAGTTTTGAAGTTGATAAAATATATCATTTTCAGCTCTTCACACAACTGATGTGCTTTTCCTTTTAATGCCAAGGGGAAAGTAACCTACCTCTGAGAGGAAAAAAATGGTTGGTCAAAGGGACCAGAGGTGGGCAAATTCAAGCAGGAAAAACTTCCTTGATACAGAAGGAGCTGTGAAAACCGAAACTTCAAACTGTGGTTCACACAGAGGAATGTGTCCCAACCCTTCAAATTTTGCTTAGACCCCTGCCCTGCTCTGTCCTGGTGCTTCTGCAAGGGCCATGCTCCCCAAAGCCAAAATGGCTCTGCAGGTTCCTGACCCAGGCCCTTAGCATCCTCTAGGGTATTTAAATTCATTCTCTGGTAATGATGATAGCCGATGGTATAGGGGATACAATATATTTATTTACCAGAGAAAGAGAGAGTCACACAAGCTAGGAGTTAGAAGTGTGGCTGGCTTCGAAAAAGAGGATGTCCTTTTTCCTTTCACTTCCTTTTATCTCTACCTGTGCTAATTTACTTGTCCCGGTCCTCATGGGCGGATAGCTTTGTGGGGTTCACTCCTACACTCTGGGCTGTTCCAAGAGCCAGCTGCAAGGGCACCAATGACATACAGGGTGGCAATTGGGAAGAGTGGGGACAGAGTAGGGGTGTACTGGTTCCTGAAGGCACACCATTCTTGCTGCACACTCTTCCCTGACCACAAGCACTGGAGTCAGGAGGGAGGAACCCAGGGGCTCTCTTGGAGATGTGGTGTCTTGCAAACCTCCAGGGTATTCAGAATAAGTCACTTAAACCCAACTTCCTGGAGATCATAAAGGTATCTGTCAAGATATGTTTGTCAAGATAAGAGGGTGTGACATAGCCATCAATTTTAGCTTGATTTGTAATTTTCATATGAATAAACTTTGGGTATGTGCTCCTATATTTGTGTTCTGGCTCTGGATCATGAGGGTTTTAAAAATTGAGAGAGAGGAACTCAGCCTGTCTAGGAGTAACTCACTTGCTCTTCTTCTTGATGAAAACCTCCTTCAGGGCCAGATGATAACAAAATAACAAGGACAAAGATCTTGGGGACTGGAGGTAAGGTCCACAACTCACTTGAGACGACAGTGGGTGTGGCTTGAGACTACAGAGGATGGGATACCCCACATGCTCATCATCTCCCACAGCACCCCAGGGCTAGCATTGCCCAGGTTGCCTCCTTCTCATGAAACCCACTGAAATGATTGTAAATTGTCACTTTCTGTGCCTTCAGAAGTCCCCAAAGTGCATTCCACCAGACACAAACACATACCAGACCTTCACAAGAAAGGGCCCTGTGGTCATCAACTGTGATACCCACTTGGGGACTTCTATGATGCCAGTTTAGTAAGTGTCCAAGTAGGCCTTCAGTAAAGAAAGCCTTATGATTCTGTGTAGCTCAGCCTCCCTCAGATGACTTTCATTCTGTTCCCCTCATTTAATCTCTCCATGAAAGTCAATGCTCTATAGAACCCTAGTTTAAGGATCCCCCAAAGCACACACTTGTGGCAATTGCTGGCAGAGGTAAAACTCATCCAAATACACAATTATGTCATCAAAGATTCTTGCTTGACCTATCTACTATTACCGTTTAAATGATGTTGATATCGAGAAGAAACCATTTTAGAGGTTCAGTTATGTAAGACTAATACATTATAGAGACTGGGGAGGTGATTCAGCCAGTGAAGAGCTTGCTATGCAAGCACAAGGGCTTGCATTTGATTCCCAGAATCTATGTAAGAAAGCCAGTCATGGTGGCAGAACTTATGATCCCAGAGTTGGGAAGGCAAAGATGGGTGGAGGCTTGGGGCTCTTTGGCCAGTCACTCTAGCCAACTAGGCAAGTTCCCAGCAGATAGAGAGATCTTGTCTCAAAGAAACAGTTTAGATGGTGTCTTGAAAGACTGGCATTGGGTCTCATGCTTATGTGTAAACATGGGCATGAGCCCACCCATCCCCCAGGAAAGTATAATTTTTAGAGACCTGCTGTACATTTGCCTAAAGCTGACAACACCATATTACATACTTGAGTTTCTGCTAATGGTTCAACTCTCAATTAAGGGTTCATTGCATCATAATAGAAACAGTGTCTTTTCGGCATTTCCTTATTGAAAGACGTGAAATAGAACATTTGTAGATATCTTACAGGAAAAATTTAGTTAGCTTTGAAGAAAGAATTTTGCTTAAAATTGAGTATATAATGAATCATAAAAGGAAGTTACAGCAGTATTTGATAGATGAGAATACAGTTGCCCTCAGTATGTTTAGGGAATACTCCTAGCATCCTCCAATGAATACCAACGTTGGAGGAAACTCAGGTTGCTTACATAAGATGACAGGCTGGTCACATAGAACACTCCCTCCCCTGACACACACCATCTGTGGTACTGTCCCCTAGTAGGCTCATGCATTTGAACACTTGATCTCCACAGTTGGAGAATCTACTGGGGGGGTTTAAAAGGTACGACCTTACTGGAGGGAGTATGTCACTGAAGGTGAGCTTTGAGAGTAAAAAGACTTATCCCATTCTTTAGATCACTCTTTCTGCTTGCAATTAAGGATATGAGCTCTCAGCTTTCTGCTACTGCTGCCATGCCTGCTACCTGCCTTCCTGCCATGATGGACTCTCATCCTTCTGCAACCACGAGCCAAATAATCTCTCCCACCCATTGGTTATGGTGTTTTATCTCAGCAACAGAAAAGTGACTCATACACCATCCCTCTTATTGCCCATCATCCGATTATGCAAAGTCACACGCCAGTCTGAACAGTTGTTATGCTGTCCTGTTTAAGCAGGGGTGACCAGAAAAATAAAGTCTTCATGTGTTCATGTGTTCAGTCCAGATGCATTTCTCCCTCTCAGGATATCTATGACCTGTAGTTGGTGACTGTGGCACATGGATACAGATGACACAGAACCACCAGTTAGCCCCAGCCACCTCTCTTTCACTCCCACACTGTTCAGTGTCTGTGAGACGTGAGCGCTTTCTTCTACAGACCTTATCTTCCTTCACAATTGCTTATGGTTAGTGACTACCATGGGCTCTCCTCTCTAGAAAGTCCACTCACCTCCTCTCTGCTGCACAGGTGGGTATTGATCAAATACATGCAGTCTAGTGTCTCCCAAGGGAACCCTGCCCTCGTCCAACTAGTTTTTCCTCACCACTGAGGAGGGTTTATAATTTACTCCATTTTCTATGAATCCATCCATCCATTCAATAACTATTTCAAGAGAGACTCTTGTCAAGTATTCCTTGTGCACAAAATTTATTCTCCACCACGACTGCATATTCAGGCAGAAGAGCCTATGATTACGCCCTCCTCATTTTCCTCAATCATTGCTGAATCCTCTTTCATTCACTTATTCTACCTCTTAATTTTTTAACCTATGAGGAACATTTTCACTCAAAAGCAAGCATTGAACTATACAAATTATATTGTACCCATTCTAATTCTAATGGGAGCTAGATGCAGTGAAGTGGAAGACTTTAATTGCAGAGTTTGTGGTTCATGTTGCTAGGTGATACAAGTTCACAGGGTAGAGAAAAAGATGAACTGCCCTCTCTAGGAGCCTTCAAGCCTTCAAGCTCTATAAAGCCCCAGAGGTCTCTCTCACCATCACACAAGTTAAGTGGCTGAGGCAGTGTAGCAAGGAGAGAGAGAGAGAGAGAGAGAGAGAGAGAGAGAGAGAGAGAGAGAGAGAGAGAGAGAGAGAGAGAGAGAGAGAGAGAGAGAAAGAGAGAGAGACAGACAGACAGACAGAGAGAGAGGCAGAGAGAGAGACAGAGACAGAGAGAGACAGAGAGAGAGAGAGAGAGAGAGAGAGAGAGAGAGAGAGAGAGAGAGAGAGAGAGAGAGAGAGAGAGAGAGAGAGAGAGAGAGAGAGAGAGAGAGAGACTTTCCCAGTCACATTTCATCTACACCACATTCTGGGGATACGGGCTGGCTTGGGATAGAACGCTGTAGGGCAACCATAGCTTTATGTAGGCCTGGAATAATGCATAACCTCGCTATGAAATTTAATGCTTCTGGAAGTTCTATAAGAGACTAGTCACCCCTCTTTATCATTTAAAAACAGTTCTTTTAAAGGACTACTTGGAGTAAGCTTAATAAGTATAACGCTCTTCCTTTAAAACCAACAGGATGAATTCTTGCATTAAAATGGAGATCCAGATTCCCTTTTCAAATCTTCACGGGACTCTTGTAAGTGAAGCTTCAAAGTACACCTAAAGAAGAGTTCAGTAATCCAGTAGTAAAATGTTCAGTCTTTTGGGAAGACAGGATTTTCTGTTATGCGCATGAGTTCCACAAGATGACAGTATTGGCTCGCACAGGGCAAGGCGGCCCTGCAACTGTAACTGTGGCTTACCTGTGGGCGTGATTGAAATGCAGGAAGCAGACACTTGTGCCTTAGGCTCTTAACTGTTAGACGCAAAATTAGCT